AAACAAAGGAACTCTCCAACTGCAGCCCAGCAAGGGGCGATCAACTACTGGATCATTGTCATCGCTACAAGGCCAGAGGATAAAATGCACAGGTGGCTCTCTATCACTATGAGGACCCACTGACTCTATGTTCCCTCCCCAGCCCTCCTCATGTTCCTGGAGGATGGCGGTTTTTTTTTTTTTTTGGCGTTTTTTTTTTTTAATATTTTATTTATTATTTTTATTTTATGTGTATGATACATTGCCTGCATGTAGGTAAGTGTACCCGTGTCACACAATGTCCGCAGAGGTCAGAAGAGGCTGCCAGATCCCCTGGAACTGGAATTACAGACAGTTGTAGGCTGCCATGTGGGTGCTGGGAATCGAACCTGGGTCTTCTGCAAGAACAGCCAGTGTTCTTAACTGCTGAGTCATCTCTCCAACCCCACTGACAAGTTTTTTAAGTAACTTTAAAAAGTTACTTGTATGCAGGGCATGGTGGCACACACCTTTAATCCCAGCACTTGGGAGGCAGAGGCAGAGGTAGGCAGATCTCTGTGAGTTCGAGGCCAGCCTGGTCTACATAGCAAGTTCCAGGTCAGCTGGGGCTACATGGAGACCCTGTCTCAAAAAGACCAAAAAAAAAGTTACTTGCTATCACTGCTAGGAGAACACTTAGCATCCAGATCACCTCTTACCACTGCTAGGAAGTGCCTAGGAGAGGAAAATACCCATGAGCTAGGTCTGGAAAACCAAGGACGGGGCAGGAAAGGCACATCTTCATTCCTACCCAGAAGTACCAACTGTAATAACCACAGCATGCACTGATACCTATGTGCCTCCACCTGGGTCAGCTAAGCTTTAATCACAGGGCTTCCTGTACCCTCTGGGCCTATGTATTTGACATGACCCCGTGCTTTGCATAGAGCAGGTGTTAGTGAGCACAGCAAGGTGGGGCTAAATGGGAGCCACCTCTTGGTCTTTGCAAAACCCATGTGATCAGGGGTAAAGGGCCATAATGTATATATGCAACTTATTCTCAAATGGGGAGGAGGGGATACTATATATACATCTATGGCATAAGGATAAACAGTATTTTCACAACTTTTTTATGAATTTGGAAAAATTATTTCCAAATAAATCTTTCCTATTTTTTTTTTAATTTATTTTATTTTTTCAGGCAGGGTCTCATGCAGCTCAGGCTGGCCTTGAATTCCTGATCCTCCTGCCTCTATTTCCTAAGGTTTAGGATTACAGATGTGTATTACCATGCCTGGCTTAAAAAAGGTTTCTTCTTCAAAAAGGGGACAGTCCATTAGCTGGTAGAGTTGGAAAGCATGTTATACTCCTCACCAACCAAGAATGAAACTGTTAACCAAGAAGTCATATTTGTTAGCAGGACAAATTCTCATAGGACAGTGGGCTCTAGAGGAAAACACTTGAAACTCAGGGGACATTTGTCAAGGCCAGAGTAGTACCAACTGTCCAGTTATGTCTGAGCTTCTGTTCCTCCTACTTATAATGAAAATACCACACTCTTGTGACTGGCCAACCACTGTGCTGCTCCACCTGAAAGAACTCTGGACTCCAGAGGTTAAAGAACCCTGAACTTGGAGCCAGCTCACCCAAGTTTCAATTCCAGCTGCACTACTCCCAGCTGTATGAGTGATCTCAGTAAGTCACTTTTCTCTCCCAACTAGCCTTGCCAGCAATACAAGGAAGACAGCTGCCAATCCTGACACCTCCCAAGGAAGCTCAACCTAGCACAAGCCTCTTACAGAGGCCAGCAACAGGCAGGAAGGGCCAGGATTCTTGGATTGTGGCCCTGCTGAGAAGGCGAGTTTTCTCAACTATGTATGGTAGGATCACTCTGGAGAGAGCTATCACCAAAACTATGGCATGATTTTATTTCCCAATCAGAGCTTTGAAAAGAGTTTGGGATGAGCAATTAATGCTGCATTCCCTTATCTAGGTAGAAAAAGGGCCAGTAGGGCGGTGGCTTTCACAGTTCCCTGCTCCCTGCCCCATCACAACCCACAGCTACTTCCCCAAATCCAGAGGCCTTCACACACTGGACCACCACAAAAAAATACTCAGAGTAGGGCACTAAGATGGAAAGAGGACCATCCTAGAGGACCCTTGGGACCCATTGGGGGACAAAGGCAGCCAGGGGATTCACAGCTGGAGTTATAAAAACAATTCAAAGCACAGCATGAGGGCCTTCTGAGGCCAAAGCTGGACAGCCAGAGTGGACAAGGACCCAGACAAGGGTGCATAATGATCAGACCAGCCAGATTCCTAGGATTAAAATCTCATCTGGGTCACTTAGCCTCATGAGAGCTATTTTAGTCTATCTATAAAATGGGGCTAATAACAATCTACCAAGGACCACTTAAAAGTCAACATACAAGTTAGTGCTTAGAACAGTACCTGACATATAATACATCCTCAACCAACCAAGATAAAATGTACATTTTAAAAGAAATTTAGGGGCTGAAGGTGTAGCTCAGTGCTAGAGTGCTTGCCTAGCATGTACAAAGCCCTGGGTCTGATTACCCAGCACCATAAAAACAAAAGAAAAAAAAGAAATTTGGCTATGTCAACTCCTGTTTCACATGCTGCCTCCCTCCCCTCTCCTACCTCACCTTTGAAGGGCTCTACCAGGCATCAAAGACAACCCCCAATGCCCTGGCTTGTCATCACAGGTAACACTTGGCAAGAGCAAGAGGGCACTCTCTGCCTCCCTCCCACAGGGTGTCCTCTTCATACCTATGTATGGTTCAAAGCAAGGCCCCTGACAGAAAGCATGCAGATCTAAACCAGAGAAGCACCTTCTTCTCATACACACCAGCCAGGCAGTTCCTGCCCAGGAGTTTCAGGAAGGCTTCGGGACGAAAGTGTGAAGAGACACAACAGCACACAAGGAAAAGCCTAGAGTGAGGAGCCCTACCTTTGCTGCCCGTGTCAGTCGAGGGGCCATTAGAGCTTTTAGTGTTTTGCAAGATAACTTAAGACAGCATCAGGGGATGCTGCCATGTTCCAGACTAAAGAGCCATGGATTCAAGATTACTCTGCTCCCTCTACTAGAACTTCTCCCACTCCATGTCCCACTCAGACAACAGCACAAGAGCTCCCTTGTAGCATATGTACAAATGGATGGTGCTTCTGTCACCTGCCTCTGGGCTCTCATTCTCAGGGATACTGCACACACAGGGATATACTGAAGAATTCACACTTGCTCTCTTCTTTCACATCCAGCACGTCTAAAAAGAGGGGTGTGTTTTCTGTATTTGAATATCTCTACTGATGGGCAGGCAGTGAAGATTCACATGTTTCTGCTCCATACCAGCTGGCAGGATATGTGAACAAACTGGCAAGGGAAAGAGATTAGGAACACTGGTCACCTCTGTGATCTAGGCAGGAAATGCTGGCCCTGGAATCAGAGGTACAAGAAAGACAAGCATGTGAGGCTTACTTTGAGTCCAGAAACCTCACTTGCAGAAATGGAACCCAAGAAGCAGAATGGGCTGACATTTCACACTCTACAAAGGCATACAAGTTTACAAAGATTTTAATCACAAGACCACACAAATCCACTGGCTGTGATTCCCCCCTGCCCCCCGGAACCATATAGCACCCACATCCACTGGTGTTCCTTGCACTGGTGTTCTCACTAGGTAGAACAGCCAGTTTTACTGAGCAACCAGCTCTTCTCATGGCTCAGGGAAACACTAGTCTGCCCAGTTGAGTACTGGTCCAGGGTCTTGGTTATCAGGGCTCAGGCAGACATTCCATAAAGATGATAAACACAGAGCCAAGAGTTGCAATGTGTACAGGAAGGGAGCCTGGATATAGTACTAGTGAGGGGTGTACACCCCTATACTCTATACCCAGACTTGATGTAACCCACAGAAGACTGCCTTGGTGGGATCCATCCTCCAACAAAACCATTATGAATTCTACATTCCCTTCCATTAGTATAAAGAGGAATCCATGAACCCGACATTGTGGCACACACCTTCAGTCCTAGCACTCAGGAGGTAGAGGCAGGTGAATCTCTGCGAGTTCAAGGCCAGCCTGGTCTACATAGCAAGCAAGTTCCAGGCCAGCTGGGACTAAAGGGAGACCCTATCTCACACACACACAAAAAGAAAAGACTATAGTACATTTTTTTTTCACCTAAAAGTTCTTTTTTTCACCCCCTGCTGTTTATAACTTTTTTTTTTTGCAGGCCCCTAAAGGTAGTACAGTGGGCCCAAAGCACTAGAACTCCTGTGTCTGATGGATAGATGAGTCCTGGTTTTTCTTTGGAGGGGGTAGGTTTTCTTGGTATAGTTCAGGGGTTTCTGAAGTAGGTAGAAAAGGGACCTTTAGTTCCCCACCACACACAGAACTCCAAGGGGGAGTTCAAAAAAACATTTAATCACATCACAAAGACAAAGCACTACTAAATGCTTGGCACTGCTGAGAGGGCTCTGTCCCCAGCACACGGTGCCCGATGTACTCTCAGTACTTCCTTTGGTCCAGGCTGGACTTCTATGGTGCAGCGCTTCACTGAGTGGCAGTAAGCCGTTCAGCCATCGCTGTCCAGGGCTGAAACGCTGGCTCGAGGCCATAGTTGGGCAGACACTTGGGACAACCAAGTGCCTCTAAAAGATGGTCCCGACCCCAGACCTCCACTCGACCCCATCACCTGGCCTGCAGAAGGGCGTGCCGAAGGCGCAGCTCCTGGCCAGTGGCTCTCATGGCTCCCCTCGCTCCGTGGACGTGAGTCCACAGTCAACATCCTCGACGCTGGAGTGGCACAGAAAGGACTCGCTCTGAGCCCAGGTGCACTCCAGCTTGCACCCGAGTAAGCAGGCACCCAGAAGCCCTCAGGTCAGGCCTCGCCTGCGTTTTCCGAGGCGCAGTGGCCGCCAGTGGTACCAGCTGGTGGACGGACCGTCCGGGGCGGGCGAGCCCTGAGCGCGAGCGGCCCCAGCCCCACCCCTGGCCGCGCCCCCACCCCCAGCGCCGCGCACCTGGCCGCAGCGGCTCGGTGACAGTGAGCACCAGCAAGAAGAGCAGCAGGAAGGCGCCGCTGTCTGCCTTGGGCACCATTTATCCTCCGTTCATCGTCCCCGGGGCAGCCGCGTGACCCCGCGGGGAGGCCGGACCCCGCCGGGATGAAGGCGTGGGGGCCGGACTCCGGCCGGGGACAGAGAGGCGGAGGGCGAAGGCTCCAGTCGGGCCACGGCAGGGGAGAACCGCGGACTCGCGCGCACTCTAGGCCGCAGACCCGGGACCGGATTCCGGATCCGCGCAAGATGGCGGCCGTCCTGCTCCGGCCCCGCGACCCCGCCCCCTGCGCGCACTAGCCAATGAGCGCCGAGGCGGGCGGGGGAGGCTGGACTCGCGCTCTTCCAGCTGCGGGCAGAGTGGGGCGGGGCCTGAGCGGACAGCCGAAGAGAGGGCCTGCAGACCCAGCGGCAGTAGGCGGAGCCTCAGGGGCGGGTTTATAAGCTCTAAGGCGTGCCATTGGCTAATCAGAGGGGTGGGGCTCGCGGAAGGAGTCCTGGCGGCCAGGTGGCCAAAGGATCCCCGGTGTGAAATGGGGAAGAGAGCTCAAAATCACAATGATACTCGACACTTGAATGGGGTAGGGTTATGGGGGCGAGGAAGAGTGGGGTCCCGGGAGTAGAGAATCAAGGAGGCAAATGGGACCCTGAGACCTGAAGGATCGTCACACCTGTAGGCCCCAGGTCCCCCCCCCCCAGTGCTCAGCATACATCCTAAAGTGGTCTTTTAAAGGCTGAACTGCTGTAAAGAAAATAAAGTGTAAGGCCGACAGGCTCTGGGGAAGGGACACAGAACTATTTCAACAGACGAGGAAATGGCCTAAGGAATGTCAGGGAGTAACAGAGCAGCTCAGGTCTTCTGGAAAGGACCTCTGTTAGGACCTACCTGCCCACACACTGTAGGAGAAAAGCCTGGGCAAGGCTGAACTCTAGGAACAAGGCTCCCTGCTGCTGACCTCACACCTGCCCTCATGTGGGAGCATGAATGTGGCAGGAGAGACAGCAGATGGAGGAGTAAGCTGTACAGGGGAAGAACCACAGCTATGTAGTAGGTGATCAGGCCTGGGGAAAAAGGTAAAGACGAGAAGCAGAAAAAAGGAGGGAGGAGCCAAGCTGGTGGAGACCCAGCCCAATCTGACTCACCTTCATCTCTCCTGAGTGTTCTCTGGAGAGTCCCAGGATTCTAACCTGTGACACTTTGGGGTCATGTGAGTGAGGGATGCTAACTCCCCACAGGTGGATAAAGCCAAGGTCAACCCAAGATTAGGTCAAACCATCAGGGGCTCCAGCTCTCCAAGGACTTGGCCCACAGCAGGTACTGGATAGACATAACAGGGGTCCCCCTGTTATGCAGAAGCAAAAGTCCCAGTCCAGTGCTGCCCTTGGCTCTTATGCAGTCCTTGTGGAGCATTTTCAGTGCTCCATGCAAGATCCAAGCCTAGCTTTCTGCCCCCACCCCTAACTCATTCAGATCTACCCTGGGAGCCCAGCCAGAGCCCTAAGAGAGGCAGGATCTTTAGGAGGGAACTCAAAGCCAAGAGCAGCATACCTGCCAGTCATCCACCTGCCAGTCAGAGCCACTGTTAGATAAAGCCAGGACAGCTGCAGCTAAGGAAAGAGCAGTCCAGGAAAGTGCAAAATCCAGCGGAAACTTGCAGTGAAAGGGCAGGGTGTTAGCCCCCAAAACAGCAACCACTGGGCCAGAAGTCTCTGCCCCTCCTGACTCACTTGACCCTTCTCAGTCTTGCTCTGTGCCCAAGAGCTGCCTGTGTAGACATCATCAAGAGCTGAAGGGAGGGAAAAGAGGTCGAGGACATCTTCCCTACCACTGCCCTGTAGAGTCACTGCAGACTGGCTCTTTCCCTCCACTAAAGCTGACTCTGTCAGGGTTGCCCTTTGTATACTTCCCATTGCTTTCTACCGTGTGTGCCAGGGGTCTGTTCAACCTTAGGGCACTGAGTTACCCATAGAGTTCCTTACATTCTGCTCTCACCTTTGTAAAGCAACCCTTTATTAAGATTATCCTTGAGTGTATCTACTGTTTCCTTCTGGGACCCTTGACTGATAGGGCTGCTCACCCTGGATTCCCTGGATTGATCTGGTTTGAAATAATGAGCCATGGCATTCCATGATGGTTCAGGTTCTAGATTTAGAAACATGGGCATACCTCTTTTCTGTCCCTACAGGCCTCTCCTACCTCAGGTCCAAGCCAAGCATAAGGCCATTGTGCTGGCTTTCAGTATGCTCCAATACCCTGGCAGACCTTCCAGGTTCTAAGTCCAAGTGGCTCAGGCAGTAGCCTCATTCCCCCAGGGCACTCCTCCTTTGTGACTTCACCCACTGAAATCACCTGGGGGACAGTACTGAATGTTCCATGCTAGAGTCTTGGCCTCTTAGGAGGAAGAGAGAGCAGGCCCGGCCAGGTGAGAGGACCTTCTGTCGACAGTGTAAATGAGGACACTGCTGGCCCATGTCTGGCAGGGATGTAGACAGCAGCCTCAGACGCGATGGGCACTCCTGGCACCATGGATGATGCTGCTGTCCTCAAGCGAAGAGGCTACATCATGGGGATAAATTTGGGAGAGGGCTCATATGCCAAAGTTAAATCCGCTTACTCTGAGCGCCTAAAGTTCAATGTGGCAGTCAAAATTATCGATCGCAAGAAAGGCCCCACAGACTTCCTGGAGAAATTTCTTCCCCGTGAGATTGAGATCCTGGCCATGCTAAACCACCGCTCTATTGTCAAGACCTACGAGATCTTTGAGACATCAGATGGCAAGGTCTACATTGTCATGGAGCTTGGGGTCCAGGGTGACCTCCTTGAATTCATCAAAACCCGAGGAGCCCTGCAAGAGGATGATGCTCGAAAGAAGTTCCACCAGCTCTCCTCAGCCATCAAGTACTGCCACGACTTGGACATTGTCCATCGGGACCTCAAGTGCGAGAACCTTCTGCTCGACAAGGACTTGAACATCAAGTTGTCTGACTTTGGCTTTTCCAAGCGCTGCCTGCGGGATGATAGTGGTCGATTGACATTAAGCAAGACCTTCTGTGGGTCGGCAGCTTATGCGGCCCCTGAGGTACTTCAAGGCATCCCCTACCAGCCCAAGGTATATGACATCTGGAGCCTGGGCGTGATCCTCTACATCATGGTCTGTGGCTCCATGCCCTATGATGACTCCAACATCAAAAAGATGCTGCGCATCCAGAAGGAGCATCGAGTCAACTTTCCTCGCTCTAAGCACCTGACTGGTGAGTGTAAAGACCTCATCTACAGAATGTTACAGCCAGACGTCAATCGGCGGCTTCACATTGATGAGATCCTCAGCCATTGCTGGGTGCAGCCCAAGGCACGAGGTCTGTCCTCTGGAGCCATCAACAAGGGTGGGGAGAGCTCCATGACCACTGAGTCCCCATGGACCACTGAACCTGGCTCTGACAAGAAATCTGCCACCAAGTTGGAGCCTCAGGAAGAGGCACGGCCTGAGGCCCAACCTGAGACTAAACCCCAGGAGGAAACAGAGCTAGTGGCAGGGCAGTCAGAGACCCTGGGCTTTAGCAGTGAGGTGATCAGAGAGACAGAGGAAGGACACCCACAACAACCTCCAGAGACACATATTTAGTGAGCCTCTAGCATCCCAGGGGGTTAGCAGGAAATGAAGTAGAGCTCATGGCTTGAAGCCTGAGTCTAGAAGTCAAGGGATGAGAGAGAGAAAGAAGAGAGTCCCGGATAAGCTGCTATTTTTGTCAGTTTCTTCTCCCTCCCTTCGAACTTGGTAACTCACATGGCTAAAGAAAAAATAAATCACTATATTAGTGCAGACCCCAAGGTGAATGTCCTTACCCAGATGACTAGTCTTGGGCTCCCCTTGGCTTCCATTGCAAATCCTCACTCAGGGAAATCCATTCCAGTGCCTCCATCCCAGATTGAGGGATAGAGGCCAGGGAAGAGACCTAAGTGAGGAAGATGCTGCTTCTAGAGGGAGGCCCAGGAGTGCAGAGAGACCTGGAAAGGGCAAGGAGGGGACAATCCAAGGACAGCGTGGCTGTCTACATAGGGGAAGCTGGAGGTCAGAGCCTCCTCTCGCACTGGGAGAACTGGCTGGCTGCAGTAGGAGCTGAGGGTCTAGGCAGATGTTTCATTATACCCCAGGGCATCCAGCTTCACAAGCTTGCCTGTGGGGTTGGGGGAACACTATGGAGGGCAGGTGGACCAGCATCACAGTACTTCTTGGGCTCCCCAACTTGTCAACTGGTTTTTCAGAGGACATGTTTTCTCCATGTCCACCTGGCATCCAGTTCTCAACTGTGCCCCGAGTTGTTCCACAGTGTCATTTCCAAGCACAGAAGTAAAAGGGCTCTACTAGGTGGCCACAGTCCTGTGTGGCTTTGAATACATCTCATTTCCTTCCAAGTCCAGCCCATTCCAGGGGACATATCCCTACCAGAGCTGGAAGCCGACCCTGGCAAGCAGGATAGGCAGCATACCAGGTCCTTATGGGCAAAAGCAGTTACTGGTGTCCAACATGGGCCTAATCTGCATCTGGCACCACTGGCTGCCATGTGCTTGCCTGCCCTGCTGACAGTGTCCCAGGCATTCCTCACCTTGCTGTTGTGGCCCCTTTTTCTTCACCTCATGCCAGGAAACCTCATGGGGGCCTAAGGGTTTAACACACAAAAACAAGAACATTCAGACTCACCTCCACCCTACCCCCCAACCTGTGTGTCTCTACTTTAGGAAGACCCCAATTCTCTGTGTCCCCTGGAAGTGGGGTCAGTGGGATCCTGAATGTGCTTTCTCTGCACTTTTCCCCACATTCGGCCTACCTTCTTCACCCCACTGCCGTGTTCTACCCATCACCTCCCAGGTGTCCACAGCCCCCTCTCCTACACTCAATCTAGCTTCTACCACCCTGAGGAAGGATTCCAGTGCCTGGCTTCTGGTCCTCCAGCAACATCTCTCACCCTGCATCCCATCACTTGTGCCACAAGCATATTTGCCAATTCACCTTTGAAGACTGTGTCCATCGCCCCAGGCTCACCCTTCTCAAAACCTTCTGGGGCCGGGGCAAGTGGTGCTCTGTAGTTGGCTTCTGTGAATTCTGCCCATGAAAACCAAGTGAATAGGATTCAGGCACACAAGAGGCTGAGAGACGCTGGAGAAGTGCCCCTACTTCCCATGAAGAAACTTGAGTGGCACAGAAGGCTCCAGGACACATGGAGCTAGCTGGTGGGGGTGTGCTGAGAGGTATGTAGGCTCCTCCCCTTTCAGCTCTGCAGTCCCTTCTTGGGACAGAAGACTAAGAGGACCTGAAGCTGCTTGAAATCCACCAGGTGGGAAGGGATATAGGAGGAGAACCTGCTGTATACTTTACAGGTGAGAAAATAGCTCAGAGAAGGTGGGCAGCCTGCTGGGAATCACAGCACCCAGAGCAGCATGTCTAGGTGACTGAGCCCATTCCTTCACACATGGCATACCCTGTTGAACCATTCCTGTGGGTTGCTGGCTCTGGCTCAGTCACCTGCAATGACCCTCAGTGGCTTTGGGACCAGAATCCCAAGGTGGCCTTCATGGTGTATTCATGTTCTCCCACACCATAATCCTCAGGGTATTATCAATCCTCCTCCTGGGACTGGTTCCACAGACCTCAGACTTCCCCAGACTCCCTAAGTTCAAGCCCCAGTTCTCTTGAACTACATCAGAGGTACATCATCCTGTGTCAGGACATAACCACCACAGTGCATTCAATACTGGTTGGTGTGACATTGAGCCTCTTGGTCTCCAAATTCCAGAAGACATGGCTGTTTCTGGTTCATTGGTGTCCTCTAGCACCTAGAATACTCTCAAATGCTTGCCGGATTAATGAATCAGCAAAGGTGAAGCTTGGAGGGCAGTGAGTTCCCCAGTGTGTGCAGGTCCCTGGTCCACAGGACTACAATACTGAAGTAAGCCTAAGTCTTGAGTCCTATCCTGGCTCTATATGCACATCTCCAATGAAGGCCACCTCATGCCCCACAAATCTGTTTTGAGTTGATCCTTGCCTTCCCTAGCATGTCTCCCAGGAACCAGAGACCACAGTATCTTGGGCAAGACAACAGAATCCACTACAATGGGAGAGTAAATTGTGGCATCACCGAGAAGACTGGTACATAGAGGTAAGCTCCAGATAGAGCATTTGGGGATACAAAGGATACGAGGGAGAATGTTCTGGCCTACAAATCTTACAACTTCTTCTAGGTTATAAAGTAAAGAAGCTCTTGTCTCTTCAGCTAAAAAAGTACACCCAAGAGGAAGGAATACATTGAGCTAAAGCCTGAGTGTCCTGGAGTGCTAACAGACAGGAAGGCTGGTGCTGTATTGACCAACCCTGCCTATTTCAGCCTCACAGCGCAGGCACAGGGTGTGCCCCATATGCTCCAGATGTGTCCACAGTTGTGCCTCTGGCACATCCTGCCCCCTCTTGTCCACCTGGTGGATCCTCGGTACCTGGACTCCTATGTCACTTCCTCTTTGAAGCCTTCGGATCTACCACCCTCCCCCGATAGAAATAGGTCTTCCTTGCTCTCTTTCTGAACATAGCACCCCTAGATCACCTCCTGAAATTCTCTATAGGCACAAGACCCTTGGGATGGATGAAAATGGGCATAAGGCTTCCAAAGCAGCCAAGGAGATGTATACACTATCCCACTTTGCAAATATTATGCACCAAGTACAAGACAATCCAACATGCAAACAATGAGCAATGCCACAGCACTCCAAGCAATACCTGCCCACTGCTCACAAACCTCCAAGATGGGAGGACTGTGAGCCCCCTCCCACCCAGAAACCTGCTCTACATGTGCAATACTAAGGGCTGTCAATCCCCACGCCACCAGCACAGGGCCAACATAGCCCCATCCCCACTGACCAGGTCTATGCTGTCTTTCCTAAAGTTCCCTCTGATGCTCAGAGGCCTGCCCTGGTCCAGCCTTCTCAGGCCTGACCCAAGACACTGGCCTCCACACTTACCCCAAAGCCAATTAGCTTTTCTGTGAATGACTATCTTAAATGGGACTTGGATTGAATTGGGGTGCCCATCACTTAGAGAAAAGCCCATGACCTTCTCTTCTTCCCTCCTGACTTGTACCTTAGTCATTCTCAGCAGTATTTACCTGCTTAGGAACCTTACCACCTTCTCTACCTGGCAGAATCTTGCCCCACTCCTGCCCCACCCCCCAAACTGCACCTGCCTACATTGGACCTTCAGTGCATCCTCTAGTACTGCCTGACCTCCCATCCCCACATGAACCTGTTCACCAGGGCAGTGGCTCATCTGCCTGCTCTGTAGCTGGGACTACCACTGGTCTGTTTAGACCTAGGCAGCCCCCACTGATTCCAAGGACATAAGCCTACAGGTCTTCTTCAAACCCCAAAGAAGTGGCAAGAAATTCCTTCTTGTAAGATAAAGACCAATGCAGGACCAGTTCCCATGGCTTGATGAGAGGGAACAGACATGGGGCTGGACTTCTGGCTGTGCCTGGATCACCCCCCCTTGGGCCTTATTGGTGACAAGAAAGCCACAGCAAGAAAGAGGGCCAGAGAGGGTTACCACAGGCCTGGGTGATGGCTTCATTCCAGTGGGGAGGCGGTTCTCCTTCTAGGCCTGCCTGGCTTCCAGGGGCCCCATTCCCCACAGCCCAGTCCCTACTCCCAGCAGCCTGGCTTTATGACTTCATTCATTGGTAACTTGGTGACAGTGCTGAGTGTTCCACTCCTCCAAGCCCAGGCCCAGCCCAGCCAGACACCTCCCCACAGTGGGAATGAGGACAATCCCTGCTGGCCCGTGTGGGGAGGGGATGTAGAGGGCAGTGGCACCGGCCGCTCCTGGCACCATGGATGATGCCGCGGTCTTAAGGAAGAAGGGTTACATTGTGGGGATCAATCTGGGCAAGGGCTCCTATGCAAAAGTCAAATCTGCCTACTCTGAGCGCCTCAAATACAACGTAGCAGTCAAGATCATAGACCGCAAGAAAACGCCCACCGACTTTGTGGAAAGATTCCTTCCTAGAGAGATGGACATCCTAGCAACCGTCAACCACCGTTCCATCATCAAAACCTACGAGATCTTTGAGACCTCTGATGGGCGTATCTACATCGTCATGGAGCTGGGCGTCCAGGGCGACCTCCTTGAGTTCATCAAGTGCCGGGGAGCCCTGCATGAGGATGTGGCCCGTAAGATGTTCCGCCAGCTTTCCTCAGCTGTCAAGTACTGCCATGATCTGGACGTCGTCCACCGAGACCTCAAGTGTGAGAACCTTCTGCTTGACAAGGACTTCAACATCAAGTTGTCTGACTTCGGCTTCTCCAAGCGCTGCCTGCGGGATGGGAGTGGGCGCATAGTCCTCAGCAAAACCTTCTGTGGATCAGCAGCTTATGCAGCCCCCGAGGTGCTGCAGGGCATCCCCTATCAGCCCAAGGTGTATGACATCTGGAGCCTGGGCGTGATTCTCTACATCATGGTCTGTGGCTCCATGCCCTACGATGACTCTGACATCAAAAAGATGCTGTGCATCCAGAAGGAGCACCGAGTGGACTTCCCACGCTCCAAGAACCTGACTGGTGAGTGCAAGGACCTCATCTACCGCATCCTCCAGCCAGATGTCAACCGGCGGTTACACATTGACGAGATCCTCAGCCACTCATGGCTACAGGCCCCCAAGCCCAAAGCCATGTCTTCTGCCTCCTTCAAGAGGGAGGGGGAGGGCAAGTACCGAGCTGAGTGCAAGTTAGACACCCGGCCAGGCTCAAGACCTGAGTACCGGCCTGACCACAAGCTTGGGGCCAAACCCCAGCACCGGCTGCTGGTGGCACCTGAAAATGAAGAAAAGATGGAGGACAGGCTGGCTGAGACTTCCAGAGCTAAAGACCATCACATATCTGGAGCTGAGGTGGGGAAAGCAAGCACCTAGAGCTGGCAAGGGCCCTGGGGGGTCATGGTGTGCAGTTTGCACTCACATAAGTAGGCAGGTAGGAGCTGAAGAAGGCACAAGTACAGGAACAAGTAAAATCCATCAATTAAATCACTATTTTGATTACGTTCTATTAGCTTTCTTCCACTTAGTAGCAAAGACGTTAATTACTGACCACCAAATAAACCACGAAGTGTATACAAGCATTGAGAGTGCCCAGTGGGGAGTCTTTTTCTCTAGGACTCATCCAGCGTGGGGATCTCCAGTCTAGTGGTCCAGGGACCTGTGCTCAGGCACAGGCAGACTCAGTAAGGCCTGTGGTTAAAAAGGAGGCCTCTGTCATGGTCCAACTGCCAGGCTCCCACTTGCCTGCCTCTGACTTGCCCCCGTCCCCATGGCCTGCAGGGCTGGGCAGCTCCATGGCTCTCGGTCTCAACACAGTATAACCCACCCTGACCCTGTCCTGCTCCCACACAGTGCTCTGTGTCCATTAACCCCACAAGGTCAGTTGAGATTAGAAACCTTGCCCCAGGGATGGGGCAGCCCAGCTGACAGTTGTTGCTACCCTCCCCATCTTGTGGACCTGCAATGCAACCCCAGCAGCCCTCAGTCATGATGCTTAGACTCTCATGTTTCCTGGTTACCATCCCTCCCCAAAGACATTCCCATATGCTGGCCCAATGCTCGAGGTGGTCAGCACCTGGACAGCACCCATTCTTTCCCCCTCCATCTCTACCTCCTACTTCCTGGGGGATCCCTTGGACTAAGTCCAACCTGCCCTGTGAGACAAAAGTACCGAAACTTTATTAGCCTGGCACTCCAGTTCCAGCCCCGAGGTTCCCAGGGCAGCCACCCTAGGAGTCACAGTAACTCACTGTGGGGAATCTCCAGTCAGTAGAGGCCTGTTTTAGTTTGCTTTTGTTGCTGTGATAAAACACTCTGATCAAAAGCAACTTAAGGGAGGAAAGGGTTTATTTTGGCTTACACTTCCAGGTAACAGTTCATCACTGAGGGATGTCAGGGCCGGAACTCAAGTAGGAGCTGAAGCAGAAACCATGGAGGAATGCTGCTTACTGGCTCACTCTCTAGCTTACTCCCAGGCTCATGCTCAGGTTTCTTACACAGCCCAGGTCCACCTACCTAGGGATGGCACCACCCACAGTGGGGTTATCCCACATCAATTAACTATGAAGAAAATACCCCACAGACATGCCCAGGGGCCAATCTGATGGAGGCAATTCTTCATGAAGTTCCCTCTTCCCAAGCAACTCTAGGTTGTGTCAAGGAAATAGTAAAAACTAGCCAGTACATGGTCTGAGGTGGGAGGTATCAGGACCAAGTGGCCTCTGGAGAACACTGGTGCTTAGAGAGGCTGAGACGATCATATAAGCAGACTAGCAAAGATGGCTCTCACAGGACTCAAAGCAGGATCTGAGTCTAAGCAGTCAGTTGTATGCTAAGCCCCAAGTAGCTCAAGCCCTGGGCTGCCCAGAAAGAACGACCTATGACACCCTTGAGGCTTGAAGACCCTGTTTGGGGACTTAGACCATGCTTTAGACTCTGTCTACCTGGCCCAGAGCAGGGACCCCTCAGCTCAGTAGGTATCAGGTTCACAAGCCCATGTGGCCATTAGTCATCTGAAGGCCTGTCATTTGTAACTTTAGTCCATAGGCAAATGCTGGTCCCTGGTGTATATGGTACCTGCAGGTTTGCAGGGAACCCAAACTAGTTTTTTTACAGTACAGCCCAGGTTGAGGTAAGGTTGGTGCCTCAACAGGCAGTGCCAAGAGCAGTGGGGTAAGCAGAGGGTAGGACAGTGAAGACAGCCTAGCCCCACTTGAGCTGGGAGCCAGGTGCTGGTAGTTAACAGCTGAAATCACAAGAAAGTAACTGATGCTGGGGTGGAGCCTGACATGTAGGACCTACACCATCATGTAACCAACAAACCAAAGGGTCAGGCCTGCCTGAGAGGTTGTGGACCTGAATCCACAGTGTTGGGTAACCCTGAGGAGCACAACGATTGATTCTATGCTACCCTTCACAGTGGAAAGCAGTCAGGTGTGTGCTCAGCTCAGAAGGTAGCTCTGAGAGCCACCCACTGTTTCCTTCCCATAATGGGCTCTAGTTTTAAAGTTCTGAGATGCAAAAGTGGGTCCCAGGGCACTTCTGGGCCTGTTCAGGCAGCAGCATGGAAGGGCAACCTGGCCAGAGTATGCCAGGTGTTCTTTAATGATGGTTCATGTGGATGTTAAATAGAAAACAGTTTCAACAGGACCCTGGGAGACAGCATATTTCCAAGGGAGTGGTCAATATCCTGTGTCAGCCTGGCTGTGGCATGGCACCTTATGCCTGTGGTTCCTGGGATAATCAACCACCTATGGCCTGGGCCTCCAAGGGTTGGTGTCCTCTGAGTGGTAGAGAGCTGCCTTGCAAACTCCACAATGTGTCTCACAAAGTGTCTTACAAAATGTCCACAGCCCCAGCCTAGGCCTGGCTCTAAAAGAAGTCTGAAGCTTTGCGCCGGGCAGGGAGCTGCAGCAGGTTGTCTGTGATGGAGGCTGGGTCCTGGGTAAGCGGTGTTCGTGTGGCAGAACCAGGTGCTGGTGTGCTTGTGGGGGTCCGTGGCCCACCAGCTGGGGTCTTGAGGTGGGCTGAGCGTGCTGGGGATGGTGTATAGCTGGCCCGGAGGGCACGATCTGTATACTTGCTGGCTGTCCTGCTCACTAGGCGCTGCAGGGCGGGGGACATGGCTGGACTCAGGCCTTTGGGAGTAAGGCTATAGAGAAGGGACAGAAGAGGGCAACAAGGTTAAGGGACAAGTGCTGCTTAAGGTGAGGCCTCCTTTCAGGGCCTTAGGAGGAGCCCTGTCATGGTCATTCTTAACTAAAGGGACAATACTGGGTACGTAGCAGAAAGGCCAAACCTGAGGCATGGTGGTACTGTTGCCTCTGGCTGTGGTGCTGGGTAGAATACAAGAGCTCTGAAAGCTGAAGTCCTCATCCCTAAGGTGAATGACACTGACTCCACAGGGCTGACAGGAGCTCATAGTGGGACAAAGGGCCTGAAGATACCTCTTAAGGAAAGGCCAAGGAGGACACAGTGGATAGATGATGGAAAAGAGCTCATAACCTGTCTACATTCAGCCACACTGTGGAGCAGAGAGGTAGTCACAGCACCCACTGCAGAACCCTGTGGATGTACCCTGGGCTGTCCTACAGGCCATATACCTGCAAGCCCATCTGCATCCCTACTCCTACCAGAGGACCCAGCTGCCCCTCACCTGGCCAGGTTCTCTGTCACTCTTCGCAAGGCTTCCTGCTTCTTAGCTCGGTTTTTGGCAGCTGCTTCATTGGCCATCTTCAGGCCCAGCCGTTCCCTGCGTCCTGGCTCCAAAATCTACAAGGTAGTAGGCATGTGGGTGGCCTGAGCTGGACCTGCTACATAGCCAGGCAGTCCCTGCTATGGGTACCAACCTCTTCTCCCAGACTGTCATAACCATAGCAATTTACTTTCTCCCATAGCTTGTTAAAAGCTCCCACCCAGCTGGGCATGATGGCTCATGCCTGAGATCTCAGTACCTGGCAGGAGAAACTGGAGTTTGAGACCAGCCTGGGCTACATAGTAAGACCCTGTCTCAAAATACAAAACAAAACAAACCAAAAAAAAAAAACAAACAAAAGCAAACAAACCAAACCAAACCAAACAAAAACAAAGACAAAACAGGGCTAACAAGATGGCTCAGTGGGTAAAGATTTGTTGCCAAGCCTGACAACCTAGGTTCTATCCCCGCCCCGGAGCTCACATGGTGGAGGGAATAACTCCCACAGGTTGTCCTCTGACCTCCACACATGTACCGTGACATACACATACCCCTCAATAAACAAACAAGTAAATGAATAAATGTAAACAAAACAAGAGGTTGGGGATTAAGTTCAGTAGTAGATGGCTGCCTAGCAAGATCAAGGCCCTAGATTTGTTCCCCAGCACCAAGAAGGGGAAAAAAAGTGCCCCCACCCAAACTACCAGAACTGTATCCCTCTCCCTGGGCCTGGCTTTAAAAGGGTACGAACCAAGGAAAGTCTGCTTTGGTTTTCATGTTTTCCTCTGATTACCAGAGTGACCAATTTTCTGTCTTTGCTGACCTTCAGGATTTATTTCTTAAGACCTTCTCATGTGTGAATATGGCCTCTTTTTCTATCAAGGTCCTTACCTTGTTTTTACTTTGTTACTTATTTTATCTATCAAATTAAGCTATACCATATAGATTACTTTAAAATTATTCACACAACCTTCCTTCCCTTCAGCATCTGAAGTACTGGGACTAGTGTTTTTCTCTCTCCCCCTCTCTCTTTATTGTGGGGGTGGGCATGCATGCCACAGCCCACATGTGGAGATTAGAAGAAACTTTGTGGAGTCAATTCTCTCCTTCTACCTTTACATGAGTTCCAGGGATCAAACTCACGCTTGTGTGATATGCACTTTACCTGCTGAGCCATCTCGCTGGCTCACTTTTGTTTTATGACATTTGTGCTGTACTAAAGTTTGCCATTTTCACAACCCAGTGGAAAGCTCTAATATTCTGAATCCTATGTATACCATGCAGTTTTCCAGACACACCAATAATAAACAAATTAAGGGCTGGGGATGTAGTTCATGGCAAAGTATATGCTTAGCACCCTGAATTAAGTCTCCAGTACAAAGATGGGGGTGGGGGGGGGACTCACAAATTAGGAAGAGAAAGATTTAAAAACATCCACAAACTATAAAAAGTGACTTAAAATTTATACTTTTTATTTATGTGAGTTCTCTTTTAATATTTTTAGGCCATAGTTGACTTTAACTGAAACTCTGGGAAGCAAACTGGAAAGCTGGGTATGGGGGTTCATGCATATAATCCCAGCACGCAGGGGCACTAAAACAGGAGGACTATCATGAGTTTGAGTTCAACCTGAGCTACCCAGAGAGTTTTAGGCCAGCTTTGACTACAGAGTAAGACCTTACCTTGACAAAATCCAACCAAACAAAGAGCTGGGTAAGGGAGTACTATTCATAAAAATAAAAAAGTTTAAGGCAAGTCGTGATGGCACACGCCTTTAATCCCAGAATTCAGGAGGCAGAGGCAGAGGCAGAGGCAGGTGGATCTCTGTGAGGTGGAGGCCAGTCTGGTCTACATAGTTCCAGGCCAGCTGGGGCTACAGGGAACCCGTCTCAAAAAGACCAAAAAAAGGAAGTTTAAAATTGTATTTATGTGTGTCTATGTGTATGGATATGGTAGGAACCTGGCCTTGGGTTAAGTCCCCAGCAATACCAAAAACAAAAAAAACAGATTAAAGCTATACCAACAACCACCTCTGTCTCCTCCCCCCACCCACCCCC